AAAACTGACTGACTGACTGATATTTTATTAATTTCTTAATTATTGCCTTTGTTCTGTTGTAATTATGTATTTGTTCATGTTGTAAGCTGCCTTGAACATGGTTTGAATGCTGGAAAGGTGACATGCAAATATGTGTGTATGTATGTTTTGAAAGGAGCATGTGTTACCTGTGGGACAGAAGCTGCGAACCATGAAAGGAAGCCCTGTGTCAATTAATTTTCACATGGCCATTTTTTCCTGCTTTCAGGACTTTCTCATCACTCTCTCAATAAACAATCCAGATGGCATAAAAACCCCCAGAAGTTTGCACTGCTTAAAAACTACATCACCTGGGTCTAAGGGATGAAATCGGCCAAGAACTATGCAGTTTGGCTTCCCTATAGCCTCCCCCGTTAATGGTATTCTACTCACACAAGGGCAAAATCCATTCTGTACTGTGCAGAGGAATGGAACCAAACTTACGTGAAGATTAACTCATGCTTGGCCTTCAAGGAGGAGGGGTGGGGATGAACTCCTGAATTCAGTACTGGAATCTCAGGTGAATAAACACAGGGAGAGATTACAGATGCCAACATATATCCAGGAGTTAGTGAAACCCAACACTGCCTTCCTCCCTTGGTGAAATCCCAACAAGTGAAGGGAATCAAAGTGAGGAATTTAAAGTAAGGAGACAAGACAATGCTGAAGGGTTCTCAGAAGCTTAAAAAAAAGTCTCTTTTTCTCCCAACAGCAGTTGCTGCCAAGCAAATAAATAAATAAAGCAGCACCTTCAAGAACAACAAATAATAGCCCAAGAGACAGCTGGAGCAAGGCAAAGGGGGGGGACGGATTTAAAACTAACTCTATCTGTGGTGAAGCAAATAAGCTGTCAAGCAGCCACAATGTCATATTCGGTAGCTGCATATACTCTAAAACATTCTTCCCCTGAAAGATATTTTTGGACAATGATTCTTACCAGTCCCAGCCTGCATGGCCAATGGTCATAGATGAAGGGAGTTGTAGTGCAATAATGTCTGGAAGACAGAATTGCATCCCACAATTCAGGACCAGTTCACCTGAACTAGGAAGGTTGGTTCATAGATGAAGAAGCGGGGAGGGAGGATACACTCCTCTGCACACACACTACACACACACACACACACACACACTACATGGAGACAGGAGCTCTCTCCCTCAGGAAAATTATGATTATCTAGATCCATTCTAGTCTAGTTTCAAGCCTGGTTTTAGCACTGAAAAAGCACTTCAGCAATATATCAAGTCTGAAATCATTACAGAAGTGGGCTAGTCCCCCTATTTTCCATGTAAATTAAAATCTGGGTTGTCTTTCTTTTTAACATACCAGGCACCCAACAGACTTGTGCCCATATGCATTGCACTCCAAATCTCCAATGTAGGTCTCCGTGTGTGCAGAGAATGAAAGGAGCCTGTGCTCACACCCATTTGTGCAGCTAAGTCAATTCACAGGAACCTGGACCCCAGAATATGGTCAGAAGGCACATGAGGTTACTGTCTTGTTGAATAAGCAGGCACTAAAAGATTTTTGTTGCTGCTGCTGCTGCTGTTGTTGTTGTTTATCTACCCATGGTTTTGAAATAGCCTAGTATAAATGATTCCCATATCACTGTTATTTGTGGGAGTTATTTGAGAGAACATTTACATGAGCTAAAATAATTGTGTGGGAATTCATTCTTCAAAGAAATAGATAAGCCATATGGATCCAGCTTCCTTCTCCCCTCAAAAATACAACCGCCTTTGTCCCTCAAATCAATTGTGTGTGCATGTAAGTATGCCATTGTTATTTATATTCTGAGAAATCTATTCTGGAGGTGCTTTAACGCATTATTTTTGTAAACAGCTTAGAAACTATTGTAGTTAAGTGGCACGTAAAATGTTTAAGGAAAACAAAATAAATAAAATTAGAATTGTCTGTTCATTTGGACCGGTTGAGAGCTAATCAAATGAAGCTCAATCGAGATAAGACTGAGGCATCCTTAGTGGATGGTTCCCTAGACTGGGTAGGTAGGATTCAACTTGATCTGGAAGGGGGTTTAAGGTAAAGGTAAAAGTTACCCCTGACCGTTAGGTCCAGTCTATAGGCCAAGGGAGCCGGCATTTGTCCGCAGACAGCTTCTGGGTCATGTGGCCAGCATGACTAAGCCACTTCTGGTGAACTAGAGCAGCACACGGAAATGTCATTTACCTTCCTGCCGGAGCGGTTCCTATTTATCTACTTGCACTTTGATGTGCTTTTGAACCGCTAGGTGGGCAGGAGCTGGGAGTGAACAACAGGAGCTCACCCCATCGCGGGGATTCGAACCACTGACCTTCTGATTGGCAAGTCCTAGACTCTGTGGTTTAGATCACAGTGCCATCCGCGTCCCCTAAAAGAGCAGGTAAGCAAATTGGAAAAATTAAGAAGTGAGAGGATCAAATGGACAGATTTGTCCATCCTTTATTTTGTCCATCCTCATTTTATGTCAGCCTTTTCCTCCCAATTCCATACTGCCACTTTTGTTCCAGCCAGGAGCCACAGAGAACTCACCTTCAAAATTCACAGTAAGTCTTTTTCCTTAACAACCATAATGCGACAAAGTTTTAACGTTAGCTTCCTACGCTTCACAGTCGAATTCCCCAGCTCTTAAACTCCCTCTTTTCATATAAGCTTCCTGAATGTTCAGCGTGTAACAGAGCATCCATCAAGCTATAATTCGAGAAGTAATGTTTATGATCTTTTATTCCCCTTGAAAGATGCCAGCTTCTCCTAGCAGACCTCATCAATCCACAGAACTCTCAATAATAGAAGCCTCTCTAAAGACTGAACTGGAGAAGGACTAAGACACACAGAATTGTGGTTAGAATAACTGGACTTGAACCAGGGATGCCTGAGACTAAATACGTACCGTACTTAGCCATAAAGCTTTTGATGAGTCACACACACATCTGGCTCCAACTACCTCATTGAGTTGTTGAGAGGGGATAACATGGGGTGGCTCTCATGTTTTGCCACATTGTGCTCCTTAAAAGGAGCAATGGGGTATAAAAGTGAAAAAGTATGTATACCTGTACACAGGGCCCTGTACCCATACTGGGATGACATGAATGCCTACATGCAGAGAAATACAAACACGATTCAATGAAATCCAGATAACCTCCCCTTCCCAAAAGAATCCCAATGCATTTTTCCAATGAATCAGGAACAGAATCCTAATGTTCTCCTCTGTTCCTTCCTTAGGTAATCTGTATGCAGGTGTGAGGGAGAGATGGATAAGAGCAGGATAGTGTGTGCAGGCCTGCCATTCCCAGGAACTGTTCATATGAATTCCAATAGAGGAAAATAGGGTGCTGATGAGTGCCATTCCAATCTTTCTATGCATAAGCACCACCTTTGTGCTTTACCTGAAGGAGCGTGTCCACCCCCTTTGCTCAGTCCAGACACTGAGGTCCTCCTCAGAAGGTCTTCTGCTGATTCCCTCACTGCAGGAAGTGACGTTTCAGGGAACCAGGCAGATGGCCTTCTCGGTAGTGGTTCCCTCCCTGTGGAACGCCCTCCTTTCAGATGTCAAGGAGATAAAGAACTACACAACTTTTAGAAGACATCTGAAGGCAGCCCTGTATTGGGAAGTTTTTAAAATCTGATGTTTGATTATGTTTTTATATATGCTGTAAGTCACCCAGAGTGGCTGGGGAAACCCAGCCAGATGGGCGGGGTATAAATAATAAAATTGTTATTGTTATTGTTATTGTTATTTTATCATGTCCCTTCCCCACCTGCAATAAAACCCAGGTATTTTTGCTACATTGTGCACTAATTCTGCTCTCTGGACAAACACACAAATGAGCTGATGGTGGGGCAATTGCAACAGTGCACTGGGATAGTACAATGAAGCCCTCAGGGTTTTCTTCTTACAAACAGCAAAGATAGCAGAAATTACTCAAAGGTGTAAAGAGCAACCTTCTAAAACATCAACAACCCCACCCCACCCACCCTCTCTCTTCTGTTACATTTGACTAGAAAAAGATAACAGCTCCATGAATTCCAGCAAGTTAATTGCTGATCTATCAGAACAGATTCAGTGCTGAGTTTGATTCTTTTAAAAGATGAAAGCCTGAATGTTGTTTTCTTTCTTTCTTTCTTTCTTTCTTTCTTTCTTTCTTTCTTTCTTTCTTTCTATGTTATTTTAATTTAAATAAGACATCTCCATTCCTCCTCTCTGCAAACTTCCTACGCAGCAAGCAAACTCAGAAGGATGCACCTTTGCATACAGTTGACCTGAGACTCCACCATTGCTTGGCATAAGTAGGAAGAGAGCTCCCTCCCTCAGTAACAGTCTTTCTGTCTTTTTCTCCCAGAATAATGATTCCAGGATTACTACTCCTAGTCCTTCACAGTATCAATATGACAAAGGACATCAAAGCAGGACATCAAAATAACTTATTCCAATTACAATAGAAATTCCAATATCTCTGCATATATATTTTTCAATTCGTTATTATTTAACGTGGAGTTGGAAAACTTGCAATTAATGCCTATTGGTCACCATAGCCACACACTGCATTGTATTTCTGCAAAGCACTGTGCAGTGAAATCAGAAGCAAGCCCCACCAGGCTCCAAGGGAAAACATCTATAGGATTTCAGCCTTAACCATACAAAACTGGAGCACGAAGAGGGAAGAGCATTCACAGAACATATGCTATTGCACTTTGCTTCTGCCAGAAGCTCTTTTTCCTTAAACTAATATTTTTGGTCGTGAAGGCGGCACTGATTTAAAGTTGCTTCAACCATAGAATTCTGCCTTTACAGGGAGGAGTCAGGCTAATACCCTGCCCAAGAAACAGCAAGTGTTTCTTTCATATGACCAGTGCTTTTTTTTTTTCCTTCAAAAAAATTGGAATATTTATTCCAGCAGCTTTAAAATATATGCAAAGAACCTATGCAGAACAGGCCAAAGAGAGGCTATCTCCTTCCCTTGCTCCCCAAAAGTCCAGTAGCTGGCCCTCAGTTGGTGAGGGTAATCAGTGCTTCCACCAGGTTCCCCATGTGTTCTCGCAAGCTGCATTCTGCTGCTGCCCTGGATATTTCCATCTCGTTCATAATCAACTCCAAATCTTCTTTCTGGATTGTGACTTTGGCCAGTTCTTTTTCCTGCTCCTGCTTTGCTTTCTGCTCTGTGGATCTTCGGTCTCCAATCACTGATGTCGCTGTTTCCAAGTTGGAGCTCTGGATCTCTTTCTCCTCCGCGTAGTCAGTGATGAGCTCAAGGTCGGCCGCTCCGCTGTCGTGCTTCTGCGGCTTCTCGGCTGGTTGCTCTCTGCTGCCTGCCAAGCCATTGGGCTCTGCTTCTAACTCAAGCTCAACATCCCCTTCAGCTGCCATCGCTCCGTCTGCCTTCTGCGCTCGTCGCATGGTAAGGGGCGCTTCCGGAAGCTTTTTTCTAAAAAATTGTTTAGGGGTACTCTCATATTGAAATACTGCCCCTCAATGAGGCCAAACTGAGATTCACAAAATGTTTAGGGGTATGCGTACCCCCTGGGGGAAAAAAAGCACTGCATATGACTATGTAAAAACAGAAGCCCCTATCTGCAGTCTGAAGTGCCACCATCCAGAAAAAAGGTTTACCATTTATTTCTATTGTATCAACTAGTTCTAAGAGAAAGGAAAAGGTGAAGAGGGGAGATTGAGGAAACAGTGCTTAGAGCACCTTTCACCTCATGCATTTTGCTTTAAGGCAAGGGCTATTGGCCAGGATGTATAGAAACACTCCCAGAAATGTTGTTACTCTTCTCAAAAGAAAACATTGGCTTCCATCAGAATTCCTTGAACGTTCTACCTGGGAAATGACATCCAAATGCACTTTCAAGATTTCACTTTAGGTCAGCCTGGGTGATAGACAAGGGGTGGGTTTATCAATATATTTTAGACTCCTTTAGTATTCCTCTGATATTTCATGATATTTCACTCCCAAATTCATTTCCACATTCATTGCAGGAGAAATGTCTTTAGCAACTCTAACCCCGAGTGTTGTCCTCCTAACTGCACTGAACCATCCAATTTTGAAAGGAAGGAATTCACGGACTTCCCCCAACCATGAACAGAATTCTGTTTTTGCTCTAGCAGCATAGGCCTATCTGACAATACCCTTCAAGAATTTACATACTTCTCTGTCTTGATGTTTAGTAAGTCATCAGTAAACATGGGCATTCTTGCATTTCAACAGGGCCCTTGTTCTTCCCCACCTAAATTAAGCTTGAGCCACTGGGGTGTAGCAAAACAAAAAAGAGGCTCTTCCAAAGATATGTCCCTCACCGGTAAAATTTGTCCCCTGGTGCCTCGCCAATTTTTATTGTAATTAAAAATAGCGTAAGTGCCCTTGAACATAAAACGGATGTGTTTGTGAGCATTTTACCTAATTTTGATACAACAATTGAAAGAAGCCATGCATGCAGAGGATCTAATGAGGTGAGGAAGCAATTACAGAGAAGTCAAGATGTTTCAGATCTGGCTCATGAATCATTACCTTCCGTACAGAGTAACATAAACAAACTACCCAGAGAAATAGAGGAGAAGAATCATACGCATAGATACACATTTTTCTCCTCTAATAGTCAATGATGTAAGGGAGAGAATATATACAAAGTTCTTGATGCTCAATGTCTGTGTTCCTGTATTAATTCTTGACCCTTTTTGTTTCAGGTCAGTTAAGCATGGTAGCCTCTTTGCCTTTTATTTAGCAGGAAATCTGCCAGTTTTCAGGCATGCAAATAGGCCTGGCAGAAAATCAGGGTTTTGCACAATGTCTGCTTACATCACAAAAACACTGATGGCTCCCTAAAGCAGAAAAAAAACACAATAATAATTCCTTTGGTAGTTCTTAGGTTGAAAATGACTTTGAGAAGCTCTTTCACATTCGAAAAGGTACCTTTCCCTCCTCTCAGCTTATAGATGGCATCACTCTCACCCTCACTAGAAAAGTGATTCAGTAGCATATAAACATTTATGGGTGGGTGGGGGGAGTCAGTCATTTTCCACTAACTTTTGCTGTTACTTCCTATGGACTCTCTATAGAGCTGGGCATTTTGAAAAACGTCAGATACATAATCTCCCTGATCTTGGGCCATACATACACAGAAAAGGGCTTTAGTGCAATTTCATGTTAGTGGTGCTATGTGCATTCCCCCTAGTTTAAACGCTAGGTGTTGGATAATCGCTAGTATTCTTATTTATCAGTTGGGCGGTGAGAGGAACATGGATGGCTTAATCCCACCTTCAACTCTCCATTCCTTACCTCAAACAGTTAACCGGTGCTGTTTTCATACGTATTTCCACCTTCTTACATACTGGAATTGCATATCTGGGAGACTTGCAGGGCAAAAGTTCATAGCCAGTTTTGCAATGCAGATCTCAATCATCAATGTTCATCACAAACATCATTTACGACTTGTTTAATTGCATCTTGTACATTCAGTCACTACTTTGTTTTTCACAGATTGGGACTATTATGCAGAAAAGTGAATGCGTGGTTTAAGCCGTGGAAGCAGAAAATCACAAATACTGTATTTACAGCACCCCCTACAAGTAGTTACTCCCATGGGTTTGGGTATCAACCTAGAACCACAGTAGACCTCCAATTTCTATACTGGTTATCTAGTATGTAATGCTCTTGAATTCAAATCTAGGCAGGATCTGGGGGAGAAACCATGGAATACCAGTTGATTTTAAAATTTAATCAGAATGCCCTCCAAAACCCACCTCCCCTAATACCCCAATAAAGGGATGGATCCCAATCCATTATGAAAATGCTCTGCCCATTTCGCATGACTTTGGAAGCTGCATTGCAAATCAGGGCAAGTGGATAGCAAAAGTTAAGAGAGTCTGGGCGCACGTGTTAAGGTTGTCTTGCATTTCCCATGTTCCAATGCTATGAGTGGGCAGTATTTTCACCCCACTGCCTCAATACCAGAAGTGAGAGAAATATGCAGGGTGGTTTTATACAGTGGCCTTAATTCATATGTACCGAATAGGGCAAGGGCAAAAGAGTCAATTGGGTCTTTACATGCAGGCTCGGAGCAAATTGCTACTCCAGCTCCCATGATCAATTCCAGTCTGGTTTTTGCAGTATTTTTACAGAAAAATGTGCCCCCTAAATCCATTGGAAACCACTGCTTGTAACAAGCCACTGTTAACATCAATTCCCATCTTCACACTGAAATCCTGTTCATGACACCTCACAAGTTCCTCTGAGCTAAAACTGACTCAGTTCCCTGTGTTGCGCTGTTCCTACTATGTGCTGCTTAGAGCCTAGAAACTCACATACAACCTACTGGCTGCCCACTTATGGATCCAAGACCATTCCTTTGCAGAAATTATATTACTTTGTCTGGTGTCTATCAATTTTGTAAAGGCGGGTCACTTATCCGGACACTTTGCTACATGTTATGCCTTCTTACAAAGCAATATTCTTGGGTCTCAGACAAGTTTTCATTTTCATTTCGAAACACAATCACCTCCTGATCAAAGAACATCCCCTTAGGGAGCAAGATGAGAATTATGCATTAATCTTCCATTATCAGTGCAACAGTTTGCAATCACCGAATACTGTAAAATGCAGCATCTTCAAACGTACTGCTACTGGATCACTGGTGGAAAGTTTGGTAAACACCTGACATTCATTTCCTTCTGAGTAGCAGCTGGCTGAATGGAACTCATTGTGAAAGCAGATTTCTTACTTTCAAGTCACCTATTTTTGCCAAATGGAAGCATCTCTCCAAAATCCTCTTCCATCACCAAATTAGAATTTAGCTGATATGACTGTAGCCCAAGTTTTACCTGCAGGATTTTTTAATGCATATTTAAATGCATGCTTAAATATGTATTTATTGCAAATATGTATTTATATTTAAATACATATTTTGTCTCAATGTATGCATTTCTGAATGGAAGATGCAAATTATGTTTATACACTTTAAAAATGCAGACCAAACAAAATTCTCCCTCAGTCCAAAGGAGCAGGGTAGGAATCTCTCATAGGGTTTTGCCTTGCACTTGCCAAACTGCAATTATGAGAGAAAGCCACAACACTTACATGGGCTTAAATTAGTAATGCAGGTATATTGAGGAGCATGTTAGAAAAAGAAATAGATGTCTCAGGAGCCTTGGGTCCATCAGAAATGCAAGATAATAGAAGAGGCTTTGGAAGGCATGTGGTGCTTGCATAAAACTTTCTTTTTTATTTCCCTTTTAGCATCCTGAAGTAATAAAATAGTTTTTGAAAGATGTTCCCATCTTTCTTAAGCAGCTAATTTTATTATTTGAAATTCAGAACTGTGTTTTTTTTACTAGATAGACTTGCTGCCAATGACTGTCGGTAACTCCAACCCAGAACCCTGTAATATGAAACTAATGGTGAAAGGCAAAGGACCTCTGGATGGTTAAGTACAGCCAAAGGTGACTAAGGGGTTGCGGCGCTCATCTCACTTTCAGGCCGAGGGAGCCGGCGTTTGTCCACAGACAGCTTTCCTGGTCATGTGGCCAGCAGGACTAAAACGCCTCTGGCACAACGGAACACCATGACGGAAACCAGAGCGCACGGAAACACTATTTACCTTCCCGCCGCAGTAGTATCTATTTATCTACTTGCACAGAAGAAGAAGAAGAAGAAGAAGAAGAAGAAGAAGAAGAAGAAGAGTTTGGATTTGATATCCCGCCTTCACTCCCCTTCAGGAGTCTCAAAGCGGCTAACATTCTCCTTTCCCTTCCTCCCCCACAACAAACACTCTGTGAGGTGAGTGGGGCTGAGAGACTTCAAAGAAGTGTGACTGGCCCAAGGTCACCCAGCAGCTGCATGTGGAGGAGCGGAGAAGCGAACCCGGTTCCCCAGATTACGAGACTACCGCTCTTAACCACTACACCACACAGGTGTGCTTTCGAACTGTTAGGTTGGGAGGAGCTGGGACAGAGCAACGGGAGTTCACTCCATCATGGGGATTTGAAACGCCGACCTTCTGATCGGCAAGCCCAAGAGGCTCAGTGGTTTAGACCACAGCGCCACCCATGTCCCTCTATCTAATAATCCACCATGAATTTCCTGTACTCAGGCCTCAGAACCTAATGACAATGCAGAAGGGAACAATGACTTGTTATACTGGTTCCTGAAATCAGCAAGCAATATGAACCTTCTGGATTGGCCAGGCCAGCTATAAAGTCTAGGACCTTTTTATAAAGCCTGGCCTTTTTATTTTTCCTGGTCAACAGAGGGATGCTTTTTTTTCTTTTCTGTTTGCTCCATATCATGTACCAGCTAACTAAGCTCTGGGCTCAAGGATCATGAGCTGGAAACACTCGATGTTTAGATTTGGGTGCTGTTGCTTGTGGCCACAGCCTGACCCTCACAGCATTCATGCTCAAAT